TGCTTATCTTGCTGGGATCCTATGACCCCAGCTGACTTCCTGCCCTTTGGGCGGGGGGCTGGACTCGATGATCTTCCGAGGTCCCTTCCAGCCCTGATGTCTATGAAATCTATGAGTATCTACCAGAGATCAAATCTTGTCTCAGGACTGAGGCTTTCAGTGGTTTACTGAACTCAGCAGTTTCACAGCATCTTTTAGACCAGAGTCCTGGCATTTGGCAAGCCACGCAGCCTTCCAGTGGCACAGGTCACTATTATCATCTCTATTTTGTAGAAACGTTCTCTGAGATCCAGAGAAACTCAACAACTCATAAAGTTTGCATGCTGAATCATTGTCAGAAAATCCTGGCTTCTATTCTCACTCTAACCACATTCCTTCCCAGAGCTGGGATAGAAAATGGGTGACTGGTCCCTACTCTCTAGGAAACATTCCCTCACAGCGTCTTAGTAGGCGTCTCTACACAAGATATTTACTACGGAGTTGTTTAATTAGCTCCACAGTAAACATCACAGCATCTACACATTAGGCTGCAGGAGACTAATAAGCTCTGCAGCAGGGTAGTACTTGTAATTTCATACGCAGCAGTGCAAATGTAGATGCTGACGCAGCTGGCTGGGGCACAAGGGTTCCTTTGTGGAATGTCTTCCACACTAACAGGTTAGCCTATGGGTCACCAAAGCTGTATCTCTGGCAGTAAGCCAATCATTGCTGCCATAGACGCAGAGATCAAAGTAATAAAGGGCAGATCTATATGTTCATTTTTGCTACTGCACATTAAATGTAGTACCTCTAATGTGAGGTACTAACTAAATGCACATTTGGCTGCCCTAATGCACAGTAGCAAAAGCGCACACTTTTTTTAGTGACACTTAATGTGCAGTAGCCTAATTTTACTGCGCATTAGCATATTAGCACAGTTTTTGCCATGATGTTCTAATGCACAGTAAAATAGACTACTGCACATTAAAGCACACACGTAGATGCGCCCAAAGAGAAGTGAGGTAAAAAGCAGCAATGAAGGAATACCAACACCTACATCACCTGAGCCTGCAAGCAGTAGACCACCGAAAATGCCAAATGATACTGTGCTACCTTCATCACACCAGCTTTTAGCTTTGGTCCAATTCAGATGGTAAGTAATATTTCTGGGCTGGTTAGAATATCATCAATAACAAACATGGGTAGCAGTTTATGGGGTCAAGAAGTGGGATATGGGTATTGTTACTTGTTACAATTAATTGAATCCATCAGAGAGCAAAACTTCCTTTCTGGCTCCTTGGAAGGGCCTGTCCTAGCTGATGGTCACAGTAAGACTTTGCCCCTGGTTTCAGCCACAGGAGGTCACTGAATGTGGGAAGGAAAGAAAGGAGGTAGGCAGGGCTTCATAGGACATCCTAGTTTGCACATTTAACAAGGAAAAGGCAAAAGGAGCACTGGGGCTAGAGAAAGAGAGCTATGGACTCTTGCACTTTACTTGAATTTGGACCTTGTTCACTAGGTCCATTCTTAATTAAAATTTCCATCCCCATCAGCTAACACCATGCCAGAACTTGGCCCAGGATTCTTAGGAAGGAAAGTTACCTGCTGATCTGGCTACAGCTCTGACTTTAGCTCAGTCTATTTCTTCACTAACTAACATGAGAAGTACATATGCCAGTCAGCTTGATGCAGATCCCTGTAAAGACATGATGGCCCTCCTCTGAGATGCACCCTTCTAGCTGATACTCTGAGCTCTGTCTCTCGGGATTAAATTGTGTGCTGTGCCCTGAGAGCTGCCGAAGGAGGCAAGATGGACCTGACCTCTACAACCAGAGGATCAAAATGAATTCTGAAACTCCTGGTACCCCTGATGTGGATGGACAAGCAAGCTATTCCCTTCCCTCCCACTCTGACACCCTTCTGCCCAAGACTCCCCACAGAAATGGCAGAGCCCCAGTGTCTCAATCTGAGCATATGGAAAACATGTGACTAGTTTTTATTTCTAAGATGTACTGCAGTTATTCTTTGATCCAGACTTCACAGCCATACCACCCTCCCTACACTTCAGCTAGTGAAAGAGGCACCTTTGAGTGCTTCCTGGATCCTCCCTCTCTGCTGAGATTCACCAGGCTATTGGAAGCTCACTAGGAAACTGGCTTGTTTAATCTAGCCATAACTTAGGCACTACTTTTCTTCTTTTCCTGGATGGTTGTCAGTGCTGCAAACAAAGCCTTGGTAGCATCTCTGCTTGAAGCAGCAACAGCAGCAGTGTAAATCCAGAGCAAATATGCTATACTCAGCTAGGTTTATACCAGGACTATCCAACTTCAGAGCAGTTGGTGGCTCCATGCTGCACCAGGTACAGCTCCAAGTCTGCACACTGCACAGGTTTCCTGGAACCCCAACCACACAGGCAGTGAACCGAACCCCTCCCCCCCCATGTAGGCAGCAAGAGTTACCTCTCCCACCATGTGGGTGGCATGTAGGCAGTGCAAACTCCCCCTCACTGCACCACATGAATAGTGTGAGCCTCCTTCTCATCACTGCGTGGGTCATTTGAGCTCCCCTGCTGCCACCCCCCCCTCCGCTGCTCTGCCTCAGAGACCCTGGCTGCTGTAGCAGCAGAAGCAATGGGGGAAGTGGTACTTTGGCAGAAGCCTGTAGGCTGGATATAGCCTGATTTGCCTGGACAGGCCTGATTTGCACCAACATAGGTAAGAACAGAGTTTAGCTCTTGGGGTGTCTTTTCTATGTTGCGAAACATGTGCCACTATGGATGTTACCTTGGCACCCTGTGAACAGCCTACCTGGAACAGAAATGGTGTGGGGGTCTATTAGTACAATGCAAAACTCTTGGTTCAAATCCCAGGCAAGCCTTCCTGTGGAGGTGAATTCTGTGTCCCTTTCAAATGTATAAAAGCAAGCATCAAATTCCAGGATTGGAGAAGGGGACTTACTGTCCCTGCATGCTCAGGACTAGTCTATACCCACCCACCACCCAATAAACCATTTCCTCTGCAAGAAAGTGGGAGAATTCAGAGCCCAGCTAAAGAGACATGAGCCCTTACAACTACCTCTGATTTCAGTCCAGCTTAGAAAAGCTCATACTTATTCCTAATATTGCTCCAAACCCCAATGAAATCCAGACTGCCAGTCAGAAATCAGTACAGATAAATATGCCCACAATTATATGTTGGCTCTTAGTGGATTTTGGTCCTGTTCCTTACTGTGGAGGCTTATTTCCTAGAGTGCATCTTGATGCTACCATTAATCACAGTAGAGTGGCATGCTTATAAATAGAGCTGGACCCAACCCAAATAGGGAGCAGAAGTGAGTCTGTCACCCATCCCCTGTTGGTCACCTTAGGCATTTTTATACATGTAAGTGCCACAGCGCCAGGCGCTTTGAAAAGCACCGGGTGCTGTGACGTATGCAGTTATATAAGCAGCAAAATGCATGCCAGCACTGAGAAAATGGTGGTGGCGCGCTTTTGAACTAAAACACCTTGGAGGTGCTTTAGATCAATAGCGTACTGCTGCTATTTTCTGTGTGTTGACGTGCATTTCAGCACTTATACAACTACACGTGGCGCAGAGCAGTTCGCCTCCGCTCGCGTGCAGAGCAGACTTGATTAATCTAGTGGTATCTAAAATGACACTTCTGTGTCTGTGCAAACACTGCCGGTCTCAGGAGCAGTGGCAAGGGAGAAGTACCCTCCTGCAATGCTGAAACATCCCTTGCCCTTCCGCTTGCAACACTACATTTATTAGATCAAGTAACAAAAATGCTAATGTGTCTACAGAGGAGGAAAAAAATCAGTTCTGTCCAGGACACTGAACTCCATTCAGGCCTCCAGAAGCAAAGTGTGCTAGGAGCGGCCAACCCTTTCCGGCCCCTAATAGCTGGAACAGGCTATCACATTACAACTGGCTCATTCATTCAGCATGAAACATGGGACTGGCCTCTCCTCAGCTCAGGGTCACTGGAAGAAGAAACAAGTCATATGACCCAGGGAGTTTGCCTGGCAAGTGCTGCAAAGCTCAACAAGTCACCAGAAAGGAGGCAGGCAAGTGGGCAGCACTAAGAAAACATGTTTCACTTTTATTTTCTTGAGCATAAACAAACAGGGAGTGGGAAGCACCCCAGTTGCCCAAGCAAGGGAGAGAGAGAAGCAGCATCACAGAAATGCACTGAGCTGACTCTGGAACAGCTTTAAACATTCATCTCTCTCTGTTCTGAGCTGGCCGACATGCTGGTGAATCTCGGGCTTTGGGCACTTGCAGCCAGGCTGCAACAGGCCTCCTTGGAACAGTCTGTATGAATTTCTGTCCCATGGCCTGGACCATCCCTGCTTCAGCTATTACCTGAAAAGGATAGGAGAGGCAGCTGCATGGGGCATCTCAGAGGGCTGAAGGTTAGGTGGCTCCCAGTTACAGGAGTAATGCTGACGCGAATCCAGCAAGCCCCCTCAAATATTGCTCTGTGCCTCACCTGGAAAGCCTGCATCACCACAAGTTGACTGAAGATGGATTCCACCTTCACTTGCTCCCTAGTTTTCCTTCCTCTCCCTGAAACTATATACCATCTAAGCCAGCCTCTATATACTGATTTAGAGTGGACTTTGCCTCTGTATGCCATCTAAGCCAGCCTCTCTCGGTCTACAAATTAGAGGGGAAAGCTTTGCTTTGTCTGCTGTGCCAGTGTCAGGTTTTAACTGGCTGGGCATGCCCCCTGCCCCCCCCCCCACACACACACCTGCCGCTAATATGAACAGCCCTGGGAACCTCAGTCTTAAGGGATGTGCTAGAGGCCATCTCCTGTGCTAGAGGCCAACTCCCTGTCTCTGCTAGAAGGGGATGGTCGGTGGCTGAGTTTCATCACTATCGCTCTGCTTCCAGTAGTGTAGGAGGGGAACTAATACTTTAGCTTTAATCTCCATGCAGCTCATTCACATATTTGTTTGGCTTAAGCATATCCTGCCCCTCCTCCCTCCACACATGCAGTCCTATAACAGTACTTACAGTTTTCTGAATGAAAGTCAGGCACAAATTGCTCATCGCTGTCTGGAACCTGAGCTGTATGGGTGGGTGGATGGGTGGAGGAAGTATGGAAAGAGAGGGAGAAGAGAATTAGATTTGGCACTTCTTATGCTGTAATTAAACAGTAAGGCAGAAATGAGTCTATGCATGTAAGATCTGAACTTTCTGCCAGGAGGCATTTTAGAGACCAGGGCTGGTTTCCCTCAGGGATTAAAAACACTTTGATGCAATTCTTCCCTCCCCCACAGATTCACCCATTAACAGACTATCAGTTTCTTTCCCTCTTTTCTTGGAAGTCAAGATGACAACTACATGTTATATGCACTAACTAGGGTTCATTATTTCCTCATATACACAAGACACAGAAAGCTGGGTACATTCATTATAGCAAGAATAGCTACCGATTGATAAACCCAAGTTAGAAATGATACCACTATATCAAGGTACTGAGAGAAGTAGGAATCAGCCATGTCTTTGTACAGAAGTAGCCTCAGCAATTACTCCAGATAAAACAGACAGCTTGGCACTGGTAGACGAAGATGCATTTGGTCAGTCACAAAAAGGAGGAGGAACATTTCACAAGAGAAAGAGTTGAAATGTTGTTATTGCTGTATTGGTGCAGGAAATGTATGAGGGGCAAGGATTTTTTTATATCTTTTATTGGACTAACAGTGTGGTGGGGAGAGAAGTCTGAGAAGCTTTCAGGAAGGAAGTACCCTTCTTTGGGTTGGGGAAAGAAGCAGACATAGGCTAAGCTAAATGACAGAAAAAAGGCTTGTGTTTAACTCCACATAACCGAAAGCAGTCACTTAAGGAATGGGAAATGGCAAACTCCCACATGTCTAGACAAAGAGCTACCATGTTTGTAGCTGTGCATGCTGGGAAAATATAAGCCTTCACAGGAGGAAAATGCCCAGCGGGCATACAGAACAGCCAAAAGAATAAGGCGGCATGCATATCCTACCACATGGACAGCTGAAAGTGAGTGGGCCCAGCCAAACTGGTTTCACAAATACAAATAGGGGCTTTTGTCCGTCATGTGATGAGTTGGTTACATGTTCCCCTTGTTCTAGATTTGGTTGTTGGCAGGAGCACAAGGCCAGTGCTGTGGTTACTGAGTGAGTTCTGACTATATTAAATGCAAATATTTTTTGAAGCCACTAGCTGCAAACAGCCTGGCAGTGTGGACTTCAATCTTAGGCATCATAGCAAAAAAAAGTTCAATTAAAAGAGTGACAGTGTTGAGTCAGACAGCATCCCTGGCAATCAGGCCGAACTGCATCATCTCACTGTTTTCTGATGGCCCTTTCCAGTCCCATGGCCACCTGTTGTTTTTGTTCTTAACTCAGACTGTGAGCTCCTTAAAGCAGGAACTGTCCCCCTGTTCTGTGTTTTTTAGCACCTATCACAGTCAAGCCCTTGTCCATGACTGGGCTGCCTAAGCATCACTGCAAGAAAAACAATGAACAACAGAATAGAGTAAAACAGGTACAGTAAAGGAACAAGAACTATGCTGCACCACTTAATGAGTAAAGCTGACACCGCAAGTTTTGTGGGTGTGCCTTAGAAAGGCTATTCCAGCCACATACATTAATATTAATGGTGTCCATAATGCCACAGGCAAGTACTTCCTCAGCGCAGAAATGAGTCACAAGCATGCACCCTGCAAGTTGCTAGTCTCTTCAGTTCCACAGAATAGCCAATGAGGCATTTTCCCCTCCTGTTCTTCCTTGTCTTTCAGGAAGGGCTTTAATCAACACCTGCCCTCCCGCAGCCTCCTGCCATCAGAGAAGGAACAATTTATTCTGACTTTCTAATTGTAGATATAACTGTACCCTTCTTTGGGCTATTGATGCTTACTTTCCTTCTGTCGTAGCACTGTCACCAAGCCTGCCACTCAGACAGGCTGCCTTCATCCCAGATAGGCTTGTGGTTAAATAACTCATGGAACAAGGTTCCCAATACAGCTTTTCCTTCCACAGCAAAAACACCTGGCCTTCTTTGGGGATGCTCAATAGTCCGGTCATCCAGTAATAGAACAGAGACTGAGCAAGTGATACAGGGACATGGTTTTAGTTCCAGCATAGCATTTTTGCTGCTCAGAAACTGGCCCTTAGACCAATACACAGGGAACTCTTCTCCAAGCACTCAGAGCAGACGTGGCTTTGAGATTTCAGCACTAATGCACTTCGAGTTGCATTGCCCTCCACCATCTAACTTCCTTAAAATATTTGCCTAGCTCTGTATGAAGAACCCTTCTCTGAGCCCCACCTCTCTAATCAGAAGAATACATCTCCTATTTTCACATGAAAATCTTTAAAAACTAGCACTTGTCCAGGAAGCCTCCAGTCACTTCCTGCATTTTCTTGTTCACCTTTCCAGTGTGTCCAACCATGTCTAGGTAGTGCTCAACCTTTTCATCCAGTGGGCTGGATGGGCAGTGCCTGATTCCCACACAGGCCATATCTGGCTGGTGAATCCAAACTGGCACCTGGGGTAGATGTAGTGGGGCCCCATCCAGCCACATGGAGGAAAGCAGGGGGGCAATCTGGCCCCGATCTGGCCATGCAGGCAAGGGGCCTTAACCGGGCGCCAACCTGACCCTGCAGGGGGGAGGGAAGAGGGCATGACCCAGCACCAATCCAGCCCCAAGGAGGATTGGGTGAGGGGAGTGCGGCCCAACCCTATAGGAGGAAGGGGGCATGGCCCAGTCCCAATCTAGCCGTGCAGGGAGAGAGCCATGGCCTGGCTGTGACCCACCACCTGGGGCTTGAGATTTTGGCAGTGGGGAGGGGTAGCAGTATTAACTGCCGCTGCTCCCCTGCTGCCAAATTTCCCAACCCATGCGGAACCCTGCAGATCAGATGCCAAAGCTCTGCAGGCTGCATTTGGTCTGCAGGTCAGAGGTTGAGCACCCCTGGTCTAGACAACCTGGAACCTTTGTTATGCCACCCCTACCTGCTCTGTTTCCCCACTGTGGCTGTGCACTGTGCCTTGTGCAACATGGGAAATGTTCAAAGCAGCTGACTAACAACAAGGCCAATGGTCAAAAAGTACAATCAATAGGTAAGAAATGCAAATCCAAACAGAATAATAGAAAAGTAGATATCAGGAAGTCATATAATCTAACCCCTGCTCAAGATCATCCCTCACTAAACCATATTAGACAATTGTTTGTCTAACCTATTCCTAAAACTGCCTGAACAACCCTCTGGCACAACTACAGGCACAATGCCTGAAAACATCAAAAACAACCTAAATTGCCACAGGCAAGTCAGTGTTATGACACTCTAAAGACCAGAAGTAGTTTGTTAAAATACCCTAAAGAGACCCAAGGAAGAGGACCACACCGCACCCACAATCTCCCCACAGTCTGACCACAGGGTAAAATTTATTTTTGATCCCAAATATGGTGACTGCTCTTACTTGGAACAAAGGAGCGAGACCTAACTAGGGCC